TACAGACAACTACTTCTTAGATGAAATGGCAGGAAACAGCTGTACAGATGGGCTTGATACCCCAAGAATATTTCCCAGAGCAATGGGAAAAATGGCTTGTCAACAAATGCTACACCTTGAAAAATTCTTCCGAACTAAAAAGGAAGGAACTTGTTTGGTGTTGAAAATGGGAAAGGCTAAAGAACCCAAGTTCTAGAATACATAAAGGACATATCCCCCTGAGAAATTTTCAAATTATTTTGCTGTCTCCCCTCATCCTCACGTTGTTCCTTCTCTCACGAATCTCTTTCTCCCATATCTGATTTTCCCTTTATGGAAATGTGGAGGGGGAGAGAGAAAATGAGGAACAAAATAGAGAATGCTAGGAAGGACCCAGGGGAAGATTTGTGGTGGAGAAGAAGACTTGGGGTGGGGACAGATGAACCATCTTCACATGTCGGGAAGGGCCATCAGATGTAAGGAAGCATAAACTTACTCATTAACACTCCAGAGGACAATCTGATGGTAGTTCTCAGAAAATCATTTTTCTTTCTTGAATCCTGGCTCAAGTCTTCAGTGTAGTAGAATGAGTCAAGAATTTGGAATCAGATGACATGGATTTTATTGTAGTTTAAAAAAACTCATTATGCTTTTATTTCTATTTATGGAGTCTAAGTCTACAGTATGTGTTGGAAAGGGGATGTAGCTATGGGTTGGGATAGACTGGGGGCGGGGAACCTGTGGTCTCAAGGTCATATGTGGCCCTCTAGGTCCTCAAGTGCAGTCCTGAATCCAAACTTACTGTTGGATTCAGCCAAAGGGCTGCATTTGAGGAGTTAGAGGGCACATACAGCCTCAAGGGCATAGATTCCCCACTCCTGGGATAGATCTTTAAGGTTCTGGATCATACACAATAGACTTTGAGCCAGAAGGGGCCCTGAAGTCCAACTCCTTTTTACAGACAAGGAAACTGAAGCCCAGAGAGGTTGTGACTCGTCCAAGGTCACAGAGGTAATATGCTTCAGATGCAGGATTTGAACCCAGGTTCTCTTGACTCCAAATGCACCACATTTGCACTATAGCCTGCTCTCTTCTGTCTCTGAACTTCTTAGATTTTTTATCTTTGTTGTTGTTCTATGTAGTTTGCAGTGGTCCCATCCACATTTCACAATGTCACCCTTTCCCAGTCCCAACTATGCCCATTTTCTACAATTGGTCCTTATGTGGACAGAGGGTTGGGCTCGGTGTTGTAGAGTGATGGCCTCAAAGACTAGAAGACCTGGCTTCAGGTCTGTTTTTGATATATACTGGCTGTATAATTCTGGGTAAATCAGTGATAAGTGATTTACTTATCACTCGGTGTCCCAGGCAACTCCCTAAGATTCTGAGAGAGGGAAGGGGAGGGAAGGAGGAAGGGGGGGGAGGGAAGGAGGGATGAGTAGAGAACGAAAGAAGAAGTGAGAGGGAGGGGGAGATAATCTCCTTGCAGAAAAGCTTCCCCAAATCTCTTATAAACAAGAATTCTCATTGAAGTCAGATAAAATCCAAAAAAAAAAAAAGGATATATTATATTTCTCTTTAGAATCATTATCTGATATTCCCTGAGCTAGCTTTGACTTAGCTCAGAGCTTGGCATTGAGGAAAAAAGCACTTGATTTTGAGCCAGAAGACCTATGCTTGCATTCTTGGTCTGAGCTTCCTACCAGGGTGACCTTGGGTAAGTCATGTAGGACAGGCATAGAACAGTATTTATTAAGCCCTTACTATGTTTTGGGCATTGTGCTAAGCACAAGGAATATAAATACAAGCAAAAAAAAAGAGAGTCCCTGCCCTCCAGGACAGCATATACCTAGGCAGTGAGGTGGTAGAACATATAGAACGTTGGGCCTGGAGTTAGGAGGACCTGAGTTCAAATCCAGCCTCAGGCACTGACTGGCTGTGTGACTCTGTACTGTTGCCTGCCTCAATTTCCCCATCTGTAAAATGAGGATAAGATAGCACCCACCTCCCAGGGTTGTTGTGAGCATCCAATGAGATAATCTTTGTAAAGCACTTCACACAGTTACCTGAGTTCATCTCCCAAACGGACCTCACTTCCATGAAATAAGGTGGCTGGACTAGGTTATATCTCTAAGGTCTCTTTTCCCAGTAAATCCTATGATTCTGTTATTTGTGTTTTTGGACAGGACATATAATTTCATCAGTATTGTGAATTCTTGATGAGGAAACACCCTCCGCTGATGCAGATTGGTACCAGATTGCTACCACTGAGAGTCTGAAGGAGGTGCCTGGGTCCCTCAGAGAATAACTGATTTTCCCAGGGTCACAGAAGCAGTATGCACCAGATTTGAATCTAGAAGGTCCTGATTCTGAAGCCACGCAGCCTCTTAGATCCTAGTCTTTTAATTGACTCGTGGAATGCTAGAGCTGAAAGGGAGCTTAGTAAGTGGTGTGCCATTACGTGTTTTAACAAGCAGCTCTGAAAAAAATGTATACGCAAATCACTTTTAAGTTTAATAAGAAATATTAACATTTTCTCCACCATTTTCTTAAGTCTTGAGATAATCAACAAAATAATACATTGAGCCCATATATGTAGCATTCGTTGATTTCCAAGTGTAAATGCTCCTACTGAACATTTAGCAATTGGCCCCCAGATAGCTTCAGAACACCCCTGCCTAGGAATCGTCTCCTCCAATTTCCCCCTTTGACAGATGAGGAAAATGTGACCTCTAGAGGTGAAATGACTTGCTGAAGGCTGCATGGTTGGGATTTGGTTGACTTAGACTAAAGTCTCCACCTCTTTGCTCTCAACATGCTGAGCTGAGCTTTCTACTTCAAAACAGTTTTAACCCTTCTCATTTTGAAAAAAAAAATGCTCAGCATAAAATTCAGTCTAACAAAACAGTTCATTTAAACACTGCTCTTATTGTTTGATTTTCTAAATGTTTTAAATTTATGTTTCCCATCCTTCTGAACAATCAACTTGGAAGATGTCAGAGGCCAGCTGTGAGGGGTCACATGAGCCCTTTATCACTTAGGAAATTCCTGTTTACTTCTCCACTACTGGGCCCTTCTCCCTTCAAATGCCTTGGCATGAAGAGGATAATCATCCAGGCCTTCTGGTTCCCTGTTGATTTAAAGACTTTTCCAACAGCTGGAGGATCAGGGTGAAGCATGGATGGCCAAAGAGTTGTATTAGTTTGGAGGAAGGAAATTGCAATTAAGATTATATTCCCAGAAGCTCAGAGGTCTTCAGCTGGCAGGGTGTGGTTGTGTGTGTCTCTCTGGGTGTGAGTGTGTGTGGTACATACACAGGTTGTTTTTTTTTTCACATTTGAAAACACATAGGACTTACTTGAGAATTTCTATCATCGGGAACTAATGCTGATGAAAGAATGAAATACACTCTATGTGGTTTAGAGGACTGTGACTTTGTGGAAAGGGTGACTTGGAGTCAGATTTCAGTTTAAATCTTTGCCTAACCTCTCTGATTCTCAGTTTCCTCTCCTGTAAAATAATCTGTGTCCTACTTACCTCTCAGAAAAAGCTTTTGATTGTCTTAATGTGGAAGGAAATCAGCTTTCGAGGGAGAGAACCTGGATTCAAATCCCACCATTGATGCTTACTGCCTGAGTCTCCTTGGGCCAGTCACTGACCTAGCTTTAGCTTCACTTAGTTTGCCTGTAAAATGACAAGGTAGGACTAGATGACCTTTGACATTCCTCCCCATCAAGGTGGTGATACTCTCTCCAGTAGAAAGTTAGTTGGAGGGTTTGTGGTGACTGCTACCCTTGAACAGAGTGGGCAAATGCTTTAAAGCTTAGCCAGTGGAGAATCAGCCTTTGCATCACCTGGCTTACATCTTGAAAGCATGAGGTAAATAGTGGCCACTTCTATATATAGAGAGCCCCTTACATTTTCCTAAACTCCACAGAGAGAAAGCATTGGACTTGAAATTCTGGGCATGTTCTTTATATTTCTGGGCTAGGAAGTGAGTCACAGGAATTATAAGTCTTGGATCCTTCAGCTAACAAGTGGGTTTAATGATGCCTACCCACAGGCCATAATTTGACATTTTTTTACCCCCAGGGCAGGAGTAAGAATACACATCAGCAAATCAACATTTGAGGGTGGCCAGAAAGGAGGTATTATAATAATACTAACTAGCATTTATATAGCCTGTTAAGGTTTGCATGGTACCTTCCATATATTATCACATTTGATCCTCACTACAACCCTATGAAGTAAGGGCTATAATTATCTTCATTTTACAGGTGAGCAAACGGAGTCTGAGAGAAGTGGTGACATGCCTAGGGTCACATAACTAGTAAGTCCCTGAGGCAGGATTTGAATTCGGGTCTCCTCCTCTCTAAGGCCAACACTTTATCTAGTGAGCCAACTAGGCTCTAGGCTCGTGGGGAAGAAATTGGGATCCTTTTGGTAGGTTCCTGTTTTTAACTAATTATTTTTGCCAACCAATGCAAAACTCAGTTGTTTCCATCTGTTGAAGTTCTTCAAGCACCCTCTAAACTCCAGCACCCCCAAACCCCAATTATCCTGCCCTTCTTCTGCCCACCTCTACTTACCTTTTGTGGATACCAGTGAGCATGACTACATGACAAAGTGCCTGTAGCTTGTCAGCAAATACTTCCCTTTTCTGTGATGACTGTTTTGACCTCATCCCTCTTGTCTCCAGGTCCGAGAAGATTCTGTCCCATACAATTACTCATAGGCGTAACTCTGGGAAACAGTTGCATGAAATCATCACTTCCTCTTTGATTTGGCAGCTAAGATCCATGTTTGGGAATTCGGCTCGGCTAAAATGGACAAGATCACAGATGTTCAAGCAGGTGTTTTAAGGCTTTGCACCAAGTATGTGCTCGAGAAATCCTTGATGACCATTTGATTGACATGGTTCGGGAAGCCGCGCTATCTTGGAACTTGCCCATCTCCCATATGTTTTGTTACTGAAATTTTTTTCCACTGCAGATGCCAGCTCAAAGATGTATCCACAACCATTGTTTTTCAAGTGTTTATTAAAACTTAGCATGACAGACTGAGAATAACTCCCCCTCCCCCCACTTTAGGCCTTTCCACTCCAGAGTCCAGTCTCACAAGGTCATTGGTCCTCTTCCAGAACAAAGGGCAAACAGCAACAACCAGTCCCTGGCTAAATTCAGTGAAAACAATACAGAGGTACTGACCAACTGCTGGATGCTTGTAACATCTGGCTTTTGAGGGCTAGGAACAATAATAGACCTGTGGTTTTTTCATTCGAGGGAATATCTGATTAAGGAAACTCTCTCTACTAAGAGGTCAGCACCTGCTGTGCAACTTACAGCCTTCCCGAGTGACCTAGGTTACCGAGAAGTGAAGTGGCTTGACTAGGGTCACACAGGCAGTTTGCCTAGCAGAGGAATAATGTCTTGGATTTGGCTCTTCCCAGCACTGAGGTCAACCCTCCACCTACTGTTCTATCCAGGCTCTTTTAAGTGCTTGAAATATGCATGCTTCCTTCTAGCACATCTCAGGAATGACATGGTGACGGTTTACTCCCTTGGGAAGGCCTTCTTTGGAGATCTGTGATGGGCAACCCACTTCGAAATGCAACACACTCCTGCACTCCAAGTTTGCTACCAGCACTTTAATTTGTTTTTTTCCTCTAACTATATAGATCCTCATTATTAGGGGAAATGGAGTTCTCTTGGGCATTTGCGCTGTTTTCCTCTAAGATTAAATGCAACTAGATTTATTTAGATTTGATTACTGTGAAATTTATGAGAAACATAAATTTAGAGCTGCAAGGGACCTGCAAAGTCATTTAATCGATGGCCTTCCTTTTAGATGAAGAAACTGAGATTGAGAGAGGAGGTGACTTTGCTAAGACCGCACTGCTAATTAGAAACAAAGGTGGCATGGGCTTCAGATCCCCACCCCTGGCCTAGACAATGCTCTTTCTAGTCCTGAGGGATGGCCTTGATTCAGGATACCAGCAAGGGCTCACGACCCTTCTAGGCCACAGAGGAATCTACAGCCTGGTATGCTTTGTTCCTCAAACACTCATGCCCCATCTTCCTTTTCCTGAGCTCTCTCCCCAACTCTGCTGCTCCACCCCATCCTGTCTCACACTGCTCACCTTCTTTTCTCTTTTCACCTTCTCTGCTCTTCCTCCCTCTCTTTACTTCTCCTTTCTCACCTAAAGAGACTAGGCTGGCCTTGGCTTCTGTTTACTAAGCCTCTGGAGAAAGTGCAAATTAATAGTGCAAACAGAATTGTGGGAGAGATGTTTTTGTTTATCAAAAGCAGATAAACTGCTTTATAGAACCTTAGAATATATATTTATATACAATTGAAATGTTAATTACAAATTATTATTAAAAAAAACCTTCTTAGAGACCTTTACTAGGCAACGTCTTGTGTGTAGTTGTTGTTTTTTAACTTGCCCAGGGTCACACAGGTAGGAAGTGCCTGAGGCCAGATTTGAACTGGGGGGGAGGTGGGTTCACTGCCTCCAAGGCTGGTGCTCTATTCTTTGGGCCACCCAGCTGCCCCTAGGCAATACACTGTTAATCAATGGGATTAATTTCTTCGGCTGCTGTGAGCTCCTAAAAGACATCATCTTTCATTTCCTTATGAAGATTTGCTAATGTCAGGGTTGTCCTCTTATCCAGGATGTGATGAAGAGACCTTGTCACAGAATCACAGAAGGCCAGAGTCAGAAGTGACCCCAGAGGCCATCAAGCCCAACCCCAAAGCCCTGAGAGTTGCAAGACCTCTTGTAGCGTCTCTCTCCATGTTGAACTTTGCTTGTGTAATACACTTAGCATTGATGCTCTGTGTCATGACATCACAGCAGATGAATTCTCAATGCTCTCAGTTCCTCTTAGATTCCAGGGTTCCCACACCTCTTTGGAAACTGGAAAAAATATTCTCAGAATGAGTGCTGTGGGAATTACCTGAGAATTGTTATGAAATTCTCATTCCCTTATTCAGACTCTTTTTCCCTCCCACTTAAAACTAATTAGTGACGTTTGTCCTCTTCGTGGGCCACCAAAGCCAGCACAATGCATTATCTGGTGGCCAACTTTCAAACGTGAACTTTTACTGCACTTCTTTTCTTTATAACCCCTCATGGCACCAAAACATACAGGAGGCATTTAATAAATACTGTTGATAGACTCTAAATTCAACAAGATTGTATGTCTTTTGAGCTTGTTCAAAAGGCACACGGATTCCCTGGATAACTACAGCTGAGACATATAAACTTAGATGACCGACAGAGGGCTACTCTGGGTGCTGGACTATTTCTGGACTAAAGGACTGGATATAGTCTTGATCAATAGCCATGAGGTAACAGACAGGGCTGTGTACAATGCACAGGAGAAAAAAAAAAGGTGGGATATAGCAAGGTAGTACACTGGCAATTCAGTCTCTGGGCCCAATCTAGCAGTCCCTTTGCCGAGAGAATTCTGTCATTCTGTGCAATGAGTGTGAAGGGCTTCTCTTGAAAAAATAAAAGTAAAACCAAAAACCTACAATGTAAAGTTCTTGGAGATAGAAAGAGTGTTGTTCTTGACTCGGAAATGTGGACTAACCATTTAGCAAGTTACTTTATGTTCCTAGGTCTCAGCCCAGCCATAATATGAGAGGAAATGAGCCTTACTAACCATACATCAAGAGTTGCTGTGTCATTTTGTAGGGTCTTCCTTGGAGATTCCATGAGTTCCTTGGGGACATTCGGAAACTCAAATCCTTTTTAGGCCTCATGAATTCCTTGGAGAGTCTTTGAACTCAGAGGCTTTTAGAAGGGTGGTAACATGAGATGGAATATTCTTTGGGAACCCCTGGGGGATGGGTACCCTTTCAGGCCCACTGTGATGAATAATGAAAGGAGAACTCTATGTGCTCTTCAAAACAAGCCTGTGGATGTGAGAGAAGACATAAGGAGAGGGGCCTCTGGAGGGGGAATGATGGGCACGGTATCCGAGGTGGTCTCCTCCGGTTCACTGTCCCTGTCGTCCAGGCTCTCGGTGACGGAGGGGATGATTTTGACCACCTTCTCTTCGAAGTGCACCTGCTTCTTTCCAGGTAGCAAATCAGCTGGATCCAGCACCAGCTCCATCAGCGTGTCTGGGGGCCTGGCTGGGGCAGACTTTTTGTTACCCTTCAAAATGCTTTTCACGTGGCCAAAGAGGGAGGTCGGCCCTTCCCTGAAGGAGCTGTGGAAGGTGTATGTTTGCTCAGTATCCCCATATCCGGTGGTGCTCACAGCACTAGCAGAGGGGTCCGTGTACTGTTCTGGGGGGCAGCTAGCTTTGTTTTTCTTACGTTTACTCAGGAGGAAGTATGCCAGGCCAGTGATGATCAGCAGAGACCCTGGAAAAGATGATGAGTTTCAGCCACTCCGGAAATGGCACAGCTGAAAGCCAAAGTCCCTCCAAGCATAAACCCCTGGGGCCACCCCCCACCTAGTGGCCGTCCCCAAGGGCCTTCATTTGAAGCTTTGTTTTCCATTAGTATGGGTACCTAGTACTTACCCCTCCTCATGCTGAGCTGAAAATAATAATACCTGATGTGCATAAGGAACCTAACAGAGTATAGTGCAAAGCATCGTCTCATCATCATAGTTACTCGTCATAGAAGCTCACAGTAGGGAAGAGTTCTTCACCTGGAGGTCCATGAACTTCAAAACATGTATGTTGATAACTATGTTTGAGTATAATTGTTTTCCTTTGTAACCCTATGTACTTTATTTGATGAATTTAAGAACACCGTTCTAAGAAGGAATGTCAAAGGGGTCCATGATACAGAAAAGGTTGAAAACCCTTTGTTTACAAAGTTGTTTCCTCACCACAGAGGCAACGTGGCTTAGTGTATAGAGAGCTGGCTTCTACTGTAATAATAGCATCCATTTCTAGAGAACTTTAAGGTTTACAAGGTGCTTTCATTAACATCCTTTGGAGGTACTAATGCCCCTTCGGGCACAGCCTGGAAGATCTGGGTTCAAGTCCTACTTCCAACACATGCTAGCTGTGTCATCCTGGGAAAATCACTGGACCTGTCTAGGTTAATATTGATGACTATAAAATGCTGAGAAGGTGTTGATCTGTATCAGGATAGCACAAGCATTTTTCACTAGAACTACTAGGCTCATAGAATATTAGCGGTGTAAGGGACTATAGAGACGGTCTAGTCCAGCTTCCTTATTTTGCTGATGAGGAAACTGAGTTCTGGAGAGGTCAAAGGGCTCCCTGAATGTCACACAGCTGATAAGCAGCTGAACTGGGATTCAAATTCATTCACTAATTCCTTTACACCAAGGCAGTTAGTAATGATAGAGTTGTAACTAGGATCTAGCAGCTGGGGCTTGGTCTCAGGGTGCTGACCTTCATAGGGAGTTGCCATTATTTATATTCTAGCAGGTAAAAGCAATCAAGCTTGGCACCTAGTAAATGTGAATGATTAGTAAAATAGGAAACTATATGATTATGAGCTTTTTCATCCAATGGATGTATTCTAGGCCGGTCCCTCCCTATCCCTACTTAGCCCCTTCCTAACATCAATTTCCCACTGTCCTGAAGTCTGCTGGCCTCCATGTGGCCTTGTGCTCTTGAGTCTGAAGTCTTTCTCTCAGACCTCTCAAACTGAATTTATATTAACAAGCTAATTTTACTGCTTCTCCACGTGTTAGAATTATGTCTCTGAGTGATAGCATGCCTATGGGCTAGGTTTCCCTCCTGGCTTAGAGGTGAGAGAATAAGTAAAGAGGGCCCCAAAGACACACTTGGCTTGGGGTCATCCGGCTGCATACACACACACACACACACACACACACACACACACACACACACACACACAATCTTGCTCAGTAGCTGATTTTTATACTCAGATATAAAGGAAGCACATGGTAATTAGTTTGTGAGCTCCTTGGGGGCAGGGACTGACTTCTGCCTCTTTTTGTAACCCCAGAGCTTAGCATAGTGCCCGACATGTAGTAGGTGCTTTGTAAATATTTCTTGTTTGATCGATACGGTAGAAAGAACACTGCATTTGGAATTTAGGATCTGGGTTCAGATCCTGTCCCTAACACTTAATATCCACATGGCCTCAGGGAAATAATTTAACCTCCCTGGGCCTCAGTTTGCTCATCTATAAATTGATGAAGTTATCCCACTTCTAAATCTATTCTCTACTGCCCTAAGAAATCTCTGTCCACTTTTAAAAAGTCTAACTGGAGGTCCTGGCATGGAGAACTCTCCAAGCTGACTGCATGAAGAGAAATCTCAAGGGTTATTAGTTGTGACTAAGTTGTTGACTTTTTCCAAATCTGATTTTTCTTTCCTGACTTCCTATATATATATATATATGTGTGTGTGTGTGTGTGTGTGTGTGTGTGTGTGTGTGTATATATATATGTGTATATATATATATATGTGTGTGTGTGTGTGTGTATATATATATATATATATATATATATATATTCTAGTGATTAACTTAATTTTGGCACTTACCAGAACAGTAAACCCTGTGGAAGGTTAGGATCAATATTGAGTTAAAAATTTTACCTGCTAAGACACTATTTTTATTTTAGGCCCCCAGAGGACTCTGGCCTTCTCCATTAAGGAAGATGAGTCCTTGCTCTGAATCCTCCATTTAGTCGGGATGAGCCCTACAGGCTCTCTCTCCATCCCCAGGGACCTCAGCCAAGCAGTCATATAAGGTCTCTGGGCTGTGGCTGGAGAGCCTGGGATGTTCAGTCATTTATACTTTGAGAGCACTTTATTGGGTGCTCTACGTCTGGTATTCCCAACGATCGCGGCCAGTGGTCATACCTGGGATGGTCACATGCCAGACCAGCACTGGGTGCAGAAAGCAGGCCACAGAAAGCAGCACATAGCCCAGGAATTTCTGGAAGCAGCCCAGCCTGCAGGCCTTTTCCCACAAGACATAGGCCAGAGATTCTGGTTGACACCTGAGAAAAGATAGGTGGGGATGGGAGTGGCCATGATTGATGGAGCAAAAAGCAAATGAGGAGGGAGGAGAGAAAATATTGAGGGAAGAGAGTGGAGGTTAAAGGAGAAGGGGAGAGAGGTCCATTTAAGGGTAACAGGAAGTGAGAGGGACAGAGATGAGGAAAACAGAAGGCAGGAGAGGAGAGGCAGAAAGGGGAGGAGAGAAGAGAAGAAGGGAGAGGAGAGGCGAGACAGAGAAGAGAAAAAAGAGGACAGAAGAGGAGAGGAGATGGGAGGAGAGGGGAGAAAAGGGGAGAAGAAGGGAAGAATGGAAAAGGAAATGAAGGGAAGGGGGGAGAAGGAGAGGGGAAAAGAGAAAGGGAGACAGAGATAGAGAGATTAATCTGAGGCAGAGAGGTAGACACCACACTGGCGCCTTGCTGATTCTCCTTGCTGACACCTGGCGTTTGTGCGGTTGCTTGAAACGTTCGACTTTATATTACCCTTTGAATCTAATACTTTGCATTTTATTTAAGGCCAGGGTTGGGTGACCTCTAGTGGCTAGGGAAAAATAGACTACAATGTAAAAGTCCAGGGAAACTGGAAATATCTGTCATTTTTAGAAATCCACATTTCTGGCTGGCTAACCACTCCTTTTTCTTGGCCCCTCCCCCATTACATATACATTTGGAGACCTAAGAAACCATCAAAAACAATGGCCAACCCTCTAGGGACGATGATTGAAGTTGCCCCAGATATTGATCAATATTGAATAGAGGCAGTGTGGTTTAACTGCTCCATAAAAGGAAATCAGGCTAATTTCCCTGATGGATTCTGGTTCTCTCTCTGTGACTCAGTTCCCATCCGTAAAATGATGAAGACAGCACTACATCTGTTACATAGGTAAATGTGGTGAATAAGGGCTATGAGAATTGAGGTCAAATGAAGGGAAATGGGCCATATTAAAAAATCCTTAAGTTTTTCTGCACTATGGAATCTTTGGCTTATTTCCTTAAGGGCCCTCCTATCCTTTCCTCCCCTTCCTTCACTCAGAGTACGGCAGCATGGATTGGAGTTGGAAGTGGCTTGGGAGGCCATCTAGTTCAATCCCATCAATTTACAAATGAGGAAACTGAGGCCTGTGGCGGTGAAGTCATTGTCAGAGGTAGGATTAAAACCAGGTCCCCTGACTCTAAATCCAATGCCATGTCACCCAGCATTCTGCCCATTTGTAGCCATTCTAAAGAGCCCTCAAATGGGCTCCAGCACAACATGCTCCAAAGAAGCCACTGGTCAAAAATCTTGGGCCTCTCATAGACCTTAGAGGTCATCTGTCCAACGTCATTTCCCATGCTGGAATCCCCTCTAAGTAACCCTTACGAGTAATCAAGGAAGAAGATTTAGAGCTAGAAGGAATCTTAGAGGTCTTTCAGTCTAGCATTCGTTTTATAGATGTGAAAACTGGGGCCCAAGGAGGCTGAGGAATCTCTGTGTGATCACACTGGCAAGTAAGTGAATGTCAGAGGTTAGATATGACCCACTCCTCTGACTCCAGCTGGAGTATTTTCCACACTACCACCCTGTATCCTGGGATGCCTGGGTTTGACTTTGGCTCTTACTCAATGAGTGAACACATGAAGGAATTTGTCCTGGTGGCCTACAAATCTTGAGCAGTCTGTGATCCGAAGTCACTTACTAGCTGTGTGACCCTTGGCAAATCACTTAACCTCTGTCTGCCTCAGTTTCCTCAACTATAAAGTCAGGATAATAACAGTACCTACCTCCAAGAGTCAAAATGCTTTAGCATGGCGCCTGGGACGTACTAGACACCTACCTAATAAATGCTGGTTCCCTTTCCTTCCTTACTAACACTCCCTGAGCCAATCTGTAAAACAAGAATTACGTTTTCGAAAACAACCTCTGAAGACTTGTGAGGAAAATGCTTTGCAAGCAGTAACACACTATAAAAAATGAGAGCTATTACCATTTTGAAAACTTTCAGGGATATCTAACTCACGGTCTCACTAGCACAATGTCTGGATGAGGCCTGACCTGGTCTAACATGTTTTTGGCCCTTTCTAGATATTGGTGTGACCCTTCTTGACCAGCCACTCTGGGCATCACTGCAGGTATGGTTTGTGGGGGAGGAATTGGATGAGGACGCAGAAGCTGGTTAATGTCCCTAGTTTCCCATCCATTCATTGACAAGAAGCTTTTTTTTCCCTCTTTGGCTAAAGGCTTCAGAGATCAGAAAAGATCAGAAAAGCTAAAGACTAGTGGGGCTGGGCTCTCAAACACACCACGGTGCCTCAGAAGAACAACTTTAGAGACTTACGCTTTGATCCCATATCTCTCATTTAATATCCGTTTAATTTTGGTCAATCCAGTACAGTCCAACAAGCATTTATTGAGCACCTGCTTCGTGTGTGAGGTGTGATCCTAGGACTGGGGGTAATTAAAACCTTTCCATCTATTATGTACTTGTCTGCCAAGTGAGGGAGGTGACTAGAACCAAGGCAACATTGGAGGTAACCCAACCCAACAGGAAGCAGCTTGGAATAATGAAAGAAACTCTGGACTGTGTAGTCATGAGAACTGGACTGCTGTCCTGGTTTTCTTTTCTGTGTGTCCTTGAATAAATTGTTTTATATATCTGGGCCTCTGCTCCTTCATTTTTAAAATTTAATTTATTATTATTATTTTTTCAATGAACAGAACTCTTTAATTTTTTCTTCTCTTCTCATTGGGAGAAAAAACCCCACACCAAACAATTTGCCCAGTTAAACAAAACAAATTCCCATACTGGCCAGGTCCCAAAAATATATTTCTCAGTCTGCACCCTGTAGCCATCACTTTTCTGTCAAGAGGTGGGTAGAATGTTTTCAGCGCTTTCATTCATAAAGGGGTTGGATTAAGTTTCCCCATATGGCCCTTCCAGCTAGCTATCACTGTCCATGAATCTGGGATCCTAGGAACCACAAGCACTCCATCCAAGTTTTCCCAAGCTATCTCATGTCTCTGACTTGCCAGATGTGCGCCTTTCAGCCTGCCCGTTATCCTCTAGAGAAAACAGAGTAATTGGTATCTCCAGCAGAGCCTAGCCTGATAGCACTGATTCCTTTGGGGAAAAGAAATCTGAGACTTCCTGGAGAGACCCTGAATGGTATTAGATAAACCAGGTATCACCATGGATGTCAGAGAGCTAAGCACTACCAGCGGCCTGTTTGACTGGCATTGGGCCCTGAGACATGAGGAGAGGACTGCGCCCTGTTTTCCTCCATTGTTTCCAGAACTGAGGTAATTTTCAGCTTGAGATGAAATGTCTTGCTAAGCGCATAGTAGCTGCCACCTGTGCAGAAGAAAGAGTACTAGGTTTGAGTCCTGCCTGTAATACTACCTGTGTGACTCCTAAGTCCTCCATAGGTCTCAGTTTTCTTACCTGTAAAGTAGATCCAACATTGATCTATGAACGAGCACTGAACAGAGGTTTTCTGCCTCCTCCTCCTCTCTCCTCTCTACTTCATTAAATCCCCTCCATTTCCTTTAGGTCTCAGCTCAAGGGCCACTTTTTACATGAGCCTTGCTCTGATCTTCCCAACTATTAAGGACAACCCTTCCCTTCCCAGAAATTAACTTGTATTTATTCTGTATATATTTCCATGAGTATGGGGTTTCTCCTGTAACAGAAGACAAGCTCCTTGAGGTCAGGACCTATTTCATTTTTGTCTTTGTCTCCAAAGCATCTAGCACAGGGCCTGGCCTAGCATAGGGGGTTACCAAATGCTTGCTGATTAATAATAATAGCCACTCATTGACTTGTTAATCAAAATTATCTGATGCTCCCAATAACCTGGTGAGGTAGGTTGTTCAAGCATTGTTAGCTACAATTTACAAAACAGCGAACTGAGATTCAAAGAAATTTAAGTGACTTGAAAAATAACATAGGGAGGGACACATGTCTAAGTGTCTAAACTGAGCCTTAAAACCAGGTCTTCTGACCCTCGGGGCTAGTATTATTTAAAAAAAAAAAAGACCTTAAGTTTTTTAAATGGGTAGCTTATATTCTTCTAGCACCTTGATTTCCAAATATATCCCTCCTCCCTCTCCCACCCAATTTGCAATTTCTTGTGACAAAAAGTAAAAAAAGAAAAAAAAATAGCCCATCAGTCAAACTGAAGTGTAATTCTGATTCTGACAGTAGATGCATGAATGTAAGACCTTGCATCTTCTGCAAAGGAGGTAGGGAGGTCCATCTTCTGATCTCTGCTTCAGGGTCATCTGAAGCTCCAGTGTTGGCTACTCTACACCACGCAGTGTCTCCAGGAATGGAAGATGTTCTAGGTTCTCTTGGTAAAGGAAGTGTGTTGGAAATGGTTTTGCTTCCCTCCTCCCCCTTGTCTCCTTGTTTATACTCGGCCACCAGGGAAATACGGAAAATACTCACCTGAAGCAGAGGGAAAGCAGCTTAGCCACAAAGTAGGACCCTTCACAGATGGAGACTGCAGTCCCGGAAAACCTAAAGGAAGGACACTGGTTAGAGGCAGCATCCCCTCCCCTCCCTCACTTTTGGGGGTTGTTCTTTTAATCATTGATTTCTAGTGTCCCAATCGATCTGTTGTCTGTACACGTTGTCTTTTCCCCTCCAGGGTGTGGGTTTCATTCATTTAATTATTCAACAGTAACTTTTTGGGTAACCATCATTTGAGAGCCACTGTGTTAAGTAAGCTCTGTAGGTAAAGTGGAGGTAAGTTAGACATGGCCCTTCCCTCTCCTTACCTAATTTAACATGATGTAGTATTAATCAGGAGGCAGCTAGATGGCTCAGTGGGCCTAGAGTCAGGAAGACATGAATTCAAATCCAGTCTCGGATACCTACTATCTGTGGGACCTTGGACAAGTCACTTAACTTCTGTTTGCCTTAAACCACTTGAGAAGGAAAAGGCAAACCATCCCAATATCTTTGCCAAGAAAACCCCATGAGAGCGTTGGCACACTGTGCTCCACAGAGTAATGAAGAGTTGGACACAACTGAACAACAAATTATTAGGAAATGTAGACTATCTTTTCTCTCCACATCTGGCTTGGATAAAACCTGAATTCTACCTACAACTATTCCATGCATGAATGTATGGTATGTATGTGTGCACATATGTGTATGTGCACATCTATACTTACACATATACATATATACATGAATATTTATATATAAAGGAGCTCTCTTTTTTTTTTTCTTGGTTTCATGGGTGTCCAATGAATTCATCACCCAGTGTCCAGCCTACTAGTGAAAAGCTTCTCTATCTCAGGCAGCTAGGTGGTACAGTGGATAGAGTGCTGGGCCTGGAGTCAGGAAGATGTGAGTTGAAATTTGACCCCAGACACACCAGGTTCACGACTTTACCTCTGTCTGCTTCCATTTCCTCAACTGAAAAATGGGGACCATAACAAAACCTACCTCACAAAGTTGTTGTGAGGATATTTGCAATAGGCTTAGCACAGTGCCTGGCACACAGGAGGTGTTGAATAAATGCTTGTTGCCTTCCCTATTCTAAACTTGGCTGGAAGCAGACATGGCGTATTTATAGGACAATACAATCAGAACTGGAAAGGACCTTCAAAGTCATCTAGTCTAACCTTCTTTTAAAAAAAAAAATTACAATTGAGGAATGTGAGGCCATACAGGGAGTAAAGGTCAGATGCAGGAGTACTTTGACTCCAAAAGCTCTTTCCAATGCAGCCCCCCTCCCCTGACCCCTGGGGCCATACTGGAAGCTTTTCCATCCTGATAGAAGCCATCAGAGTTTATGGTCCTTTAGCACAATATTCAAGAACCTAGTAGCAAGATAACTTCACAGTGAAGCTTTGTAGAAGGACCTGGGGGCCTGGTAGGGAGGAGAGCAACTCTGGAGGTCTTTGGGGAAAAAAACTAATAAATCATCTTCATCATCATCATCCTCATCCTCAAGATCAACAACAGCCACAACCACCCACATTTCTGGGCACTTTTCTCTTTACAAAATGCTTTGTCTATGATACCCTGTGAGCCGGATAGTGCAACAATTATTACCCCAGATTTACACATGGGGATACTGAGGCTCAGAGTGGAGGAGTCAGAAACTCAAGGCCACATTCCTGGGATGGTTTGAATACACCCCTGTTCAAAAGAGTTGGCTAGAGAGAAGGGCCTTGAAATCCTTTGGTAAGGTCATTTTCCTTTGTAAGGAGGCTAGGGACCTGACTGGGGTGGGGGAGGAGATAAATGGAATATACATTTATTAAGTGCCTGCTATGTGCCAGGCACCGTGCTAAACACTGTACAAAGATTATCTCATTTGACTTTCTGGGCCCGTCTATAGGCATCTGTACATACAAAGTTCTATACAGAAAAAGTGTTACTGTACTTACAGAAGATAGAAAGCCAGGCTTTTGAATTGTCCTTGGAGGAAAGTTTCAACTCCCACGCCGATTAGCACTGGAAATACAAGAGGCATGATGGAGAAGGGCAGGAGAATGGCTTGATGCCCCGATGCCAGACTTAAACACAACATCTCATTGACTTCGGGTGAGGAGCTAACTGTTTATTGTGGAACTGTTCTGGCCCTTTAACCACGTGCCTCAGAACCCTAGAGCTGAATCTAGCTTTTAAGAGACTCCATTGGTGGTTCCCTTCTCCTGCCACCTTGACCCTAAGCGCGAGGCTTTTGCTTCATCCCTATGGGAACCAGGCTGCCCTGTCACTTCTTTCGGTCTCCTTGCTATGGCTTCAACAGATAGTCTTCCTCTCCTCCCTTTGTGTCTTATCTTCCTCCATTAGATGTAGTCTCCAGGAGGGTAGGGACTGCCTTGTTTGCTCTTATATCTATCCCCAGTCTTAGCACAGTGTCTGACACATGGTAAGTGCTTTATAAATGCTCTACTTCATGGATTGAACTTCCTCAGAGGAAACCCAAGGATTTGAATGACTTGCCTAGATAGAAGTCGATTGAAAAAAGTCCCATTCTCAAGACAAAGTAAAGGGGAGTTTGCCTACTGAAGAGCTGAGAAAATGAAATTTAGAGTGCTCTAAGGCAGCTTTCTGTGTTTGCTTAGGTTGTAAAGATGGTTAAATGTTGAACCCACAGACAAGCTTTTCACTTAATCTTTTCAGAGCAGACCACATAATAAGCTGTTCTCACTCCTAACAGTTTCCTGATGTAGATGCCTGGGATTATATTATAGTAATTTTCAAGAAGAGGTTCAGACTGATGTGTGTGTGTGTGTGTGTGTGTGTGTGTGTGTGTGTGTGTGTGTGTGTGTGAAGGGCGAGTGTCATGGGATGCAGGTCTCTAGAAGGTTTCTCTAGCTCCCTATGGTCTCCAGGTGTGTTTAATTGCTCTTAGCAAGATAATGACTCTTTTCTACGCTCCATATGATGAAGGCAACTTAATCCTCTTTCTCCATGCAGTTCTGTCACGAATTTTAGGGATTTGGAAATCTACTCATTCCTTCCAATGCACAAATGAAGAAGGTAACTGTCTTTCTTTCTCAATGCTGATTCTTGCAAAGGCAAAGTCAGAACATTTTTTGATAAGAATGTTGCCCCAATTTTACACTGATCTGACACAGATGTGATGGTATGTAAGACAGGTTATGAAAGACAAGCCAATATGCTACTAGAATTAATGAAAAACTTGAATAAAAATCAAAGCATATTTAATGGAATCCATTTACATATCCTTTGTGAAATCTACACCTGCAGAAACTTGGCAGCTCATCCTGAAGTCTGTTTTCCAGGTCTCAGCCCCACCCTGGGCCCCCGGGTGCAGCTACCTGAGAGCAAGCTCCCTGTTCTTCCCCTCCCCCCACGAGGCCTCAGTGCTGTTATCAAAACCCTAATTTGTGGATTTGTCTTTTCTCCCTTCTCACTGCCCCTTTCACTTTTCCTCCTGGTAACCCTGAAGCTTCTCCACAGTTCCTATTCTCTGCCTTTCTCCTTCAGGCCTCAGGTGTAAACTTGAAAAGGATCTGGTTGTGGTCTTACTGAACAGGGGTCCTGATTCAGAGTCAGAGAACCCCACTTTAAATTCTGGCCCTGATATTCACTGTGTGACCTTGGGCAAGTCACTTCTCTCTGAGACTCTCTGAGACTCAGTTTCCTTATCTATAAAATGACAGAGCTGGGCTCCATGATTTCTAAGGTCTCTTGCAACTTGAAATCTTAAATCTTATAACACATTCTCTCTAAGATATTAGTGGATTAGGTGTTTGAACTTGCTGGGAAATGCGTTTCTTCTCACATGACACTTGGTTTTAGCCTTGAGGTCCAAAGAGGCATGTAATTCCCTGGCAGATGTGGGACTTTGGACTAGGTAGCTGGTCTGAATCATTTGTCTGCCAGGTTATGAAGGCTGGCTGAGGAGATCTGCTGGTTCTACAAGTCACTTTTCTGTTGTATTTGTAGGAAAGCTGGTGGCCAGTCAGCAAACATTTTATTAAGCTATTATTATGTGCCAGATACTGCGTGCTAAATGCTGGGGATACAAAGAAAGATGAAAACATGGCTCCTGTCCTCTGGGAATTCACAGTCTAATCCAGTCTACATGGAAACAACTACACAGGATGTATGCAGAGGAAAAGGCAGGCCATCTCAAAGTAGCAGAGGGAGGAGGAAAAAGCCTCCCTATAGAAGGTAGCATTTGAGCAGTCTTGAAAGAAGCCAGGAAATAGAGGGGAGGAGAGAGGGACATTCTAGGCATCACTAAAAAGGCACAGAGTTGAGAGATGGAGTTCTATGTGCAAGAAATAACCAGAAAGTCAGTGTAATATAAGAAGGCTGAAAAGTGAGGAAGGGCCCAGGCTGTGAAGAGCTTTAAATGCCAAACAGATCATATTATATTTGATTTTGGAAGTAATAGGTAGCCATTGGAGTTTCCTGAGTGAGGAAATAGGGTGGTAGCAGTGACACGGTATCGTCTGTATTTTAGGAAAATTATTTTAGTTGTAAAATATGGTGGCAAATGGTGACATTATGCATCCTATAACCCATTTAATTAATAGATAGCTTTGCAGGGCATTAGCAATCATAGAATATGACATTAAGTATGGAGCCCATGTGTGCTTGCTTGGCACGATGGATAGAATTCTAGACTCTATGGCTGTTGGGTCAGCCACCCTCGAAGAAGAGGAACTTGTTGGCAGGCTTATGCTAGAGAATTTGGTATTGCAATATACTAGCTATTATATTAGTGCATTCTAGCTACCTACTCAGGGAACAGATTGAAAGAGTAGAGGAGACGGTTATTCAGAAGCAGCATAATCAAATTAGGGGAGCAATTACTTCCTTGAGCTTTAGTTTCTTGGACTGCAAAATGAAGGGATTTTTCAAATTCTGGAAGCTTCCCCTGGAAGCAACTTTTGTAGGCCCTCTCAAAAAGCCACTGTGTCCTGGTAGCTGAATGAGACCTTTGGGGGGGAGAATTTCAAGACGAAATAACCAACTGGAGTCTTAAAATGTATGTTTCCTTTTGATAAGCATTTTTTTTTCCTTTTGTTTAGCAATAGCTTTGAAACAGGGAGTGAACCCAAAAGGAAAGAAATAGCTCTTCCTCCCTTCTCTGGCCCCACCTTTAGAAGGTGGAAATGCCCGCCCAAGGTCAGCCACACCTTTTCTCCTCTCACTGGACGGTTTCTTTTCACTAGTCCGTATCCCTGACTCCACCCCTGAAGAGACCTTCCCCTTCACTGGGAAAGGATGAGTCCCTGCTGCCCACTGTTGTCCAACACGGCAAAACAGTCCTTTGATTTTTTTTTTTTAGCCTGAAGGACTGAAGGAAAACTCCAGATTCAAAATAGTTCTGCCTTTTGGGAAGTTTATACAAAATCTATAAATCAAGACCTTAAGATTCTTTCTCAACTTTCTCAGCCCCCAGCTTGGCATCCTGGGGAATCAGGATTCTAACCCTGGATATTTCTGGGTCTCAGCATTCTGACACCTCCTTACTCTACTACCCTGCCCCTTCCTCACCCCGATTCACAAATAAGGTAGGGCACAAATCAACAGCAGACCAATCAGATTTAGCTAGCCAACCTACTTCAACCCATCCTTCACCTTTTTAGCTCTTTCCACCCCATTATTCCTACACTAACTTCTTCTGCCTAACTTGTGTTACCTTCAACAAGTCATTTCCCTGTTCTGCGTCTAAATCTCATATCTGTAAAGTTTTCTTTCTTTCTTTTTTTGTAAATTATTTTTATTTTAAACAAATACAAAATGAAAAAAGGGAAAAAACCTAAAACATTGCCATGTACACAGTAGACAATAAGAGAGGATTCAATATAAAACAATACATTTCCATTTCAAGGAAACCTATATAATAAATACTACACATTATTTTCAAAGCTGCCCAGCTTTTCTTTGCTTCTGTTGGTTTTCTTTTGTTCTCTGCTGTTCACTTTTTACTTTATTTCCGCTCCCTCCTTCCTCCTCCTCCCCAGAAAAGGCTACAATTAAGCATAGATATAAATGCATATAGATATCTATACATATACACATATATGCATATCTATAAGATCGTACTATGCTCATTTCTACCTGTCATCCATTTTTCTGAAGGTGGATAGCATCTTCCTTCATAAGTCCAGATCTTTCCATGTTTTTCTAAACCATTTCCTACACCACAGCAATATTCTAACCCAATTACATCCTATCTGAGAGATTTATCTATGAAACTTTCCCCCCAATTTTCTACGTTCCTTTTATTCTTGGCTACATAGGTTTTATTTATACAAGAACATTTCAATTTAAAATAATTGAAATTATTCTTTTTACACTTTCCCTCCTCTCCCCTCCCCTCTCCCTTATTATATAGTTTTAGGTTTGATACTGATGAATCTCCTTCCCTTACATCTTGTTTCCTGGTTTCTGTGAAGTTCCTGACCTTTTGCAATTCTGAATGAACTTTGTTATTATTTTTTTTCTAATTCAATAAAATATTTTTTTTTAGTAATTTAATTGGGAAGACATTGAATAAATAGATTAGTTAGGTAAAATTGTCATTTAAAATTATATTGGCTTTACCTGCTCATAAACAACAAATATTATTTCAGTTATTTAGATCTGATTTTATTTATTTATTTAGATCTGTTTTATATCTATGTTCACATAGTTCCTGTGTCTGTTTTGACAAGTATATACTCGAGTACTTTATACTGTCTAGGTATTTTAAATGTTCTAAAACAAAATTGAAAAACATTGCTGACACACATAAACCATACTGGTTTATCAGATTTTCATTTTTGATTAAATCTATTTTAACTTTGATTTTGAGGTCATGATTACTATCTCTGCTTTTTTTTTACATAAGTTCTACTCCTGCCCTTTATTTTATCATTGTGTATGTCTTTCATTTTTAAAATGTTTCCTAAAAGCAACATATTGTTGAATTCCAGTTTTTAATCTGCTATCCATTTACCCTTGTTTTCAAGGAGAAATAT